GGGAAAAAAAACAACCCCATCAAAAATTGGGCAAAGGACATGAACACACACTTCTCAAAAGAAGACATACATGTGACTAACAAACATGAAAAAGGCTCAATCATCACTGATAATTAAAAAAATGCAACACAAAACCACAATAAGATGCCATCTAATATCAGTCAGAATGGCAATTATTTAAAAGTCAAGGAAACAACAGCTACTGGCAAGGTTGCTGAGAAATAGGAATGCTTTTACACTGTTGGTGGGAATTTAAATTAGTTCAACCATTGTGGAATACAGTGTGGTGATCCCTCAAAGATTTATAACCAGTAATACCATTTGACCCACAATCTCATTACTGCGTATATACCCAAAGGAATATAAATCATTCTATTATAAAGACATATGAACACATATGTTCATTGCAGCACTATTCGAAATAGCAAAGACATGGAATCAACCCTAATGCCTAACAAAGATAGACTGTATAAAGAAAATGTACATATACATATATACATATACACCATGAAATACTATGTAGCCATAAAAAGGAATGAGATCATATACTTTGCAGGGACATGGATAAAGCTGGAAGCCATTATCCTCAGCAAACTCACATAGGAACAGAAAACCAAACAACTCATATTCTCACTTATAAGTGAGAACTGAACAATGAGAGCACATGAACACAGGGAGAGGAAAGACACTCATTGGGGTATGTTAGGGAAGAGCATGGGCGGGGGAGAGCATGAGGAAATTTAGTTAATGCACACTGGGCTTCATACCTAGGTGACTGTTTACCTATGTAACAAATCTGTATATCCTGCACATGTACCCTGAAACTTAAAATAAAATAAAAATAAATAAACACAGATCTATACAACAACAAAAATAATAGATAAATACCTGAAGAAATATATGTTATTCATTCATGACTGTTCTGGCACAATTTATTGTACTACTGTAAAGCAAATGAAAGAATAGTGAAAACAATGGTTATTTAACCTAAAGGTACAGCTTTTAAAATTCTTCATCTTTTCTAAATTGCACTGGAAATCTCAAGTGATGATTTAATTATCTTAATAAGTCTTGATTACATGCTAAAGGTAATACCAGGCACATACTTAAAAAAAATCCCAATGTAGCAAGCGGATGTATTCATTTAGCATGGTTTAATTATTGCATATGTTATTAATGACATTTAGGTAGATATTCTATATTTTTCACTAAAAAGGCTATTATTTTGCTTAGTAAAGCAAGAGATAGTACTTTAAATATCAACTAGCAGTTGAAACCATCAGTTATATGGATTTTTTTTGTCACATTAAGTTTTTAGAAAGAGGCAAATTATAAAAGGTATTGAGGGTTTATTCGAAAAAATAACTTTGGGGTTATTTACTTGGCTAGGATAAAATCAGTACCATCTCTTCTATTTTCTGGGCATTTAGGCCATACAATTAGAATCGATTTCTGAGTGATAGCCTGGAGACTCTGCAGGAATCTCACTTATCAAAAAAGATTTAATTATGTTCTTATATTGTACTCACTAAGGGAGAAAAGTAAGGGAATATACTTCACAAAGAATTCCTCAAGAAAAGTTTTGGGAACCTCAGTTATTTAGATTTACACATCTCAATATTTCAGATCATCAGTTTCTTAACAGACTATATGATAGGGAATTACGGTATAACAACAGTTTATGTTTAGGAATATATATATATATATATATTTATATTTATATATATTTATATTCCTATATATATATATTTATATTTCTCTATATATGTATATTCCTTAACATAAACTGTTGAAGTTTATCTATCTATCTATCTATCTATCTGTCTATATATCTCCAGTGATCTCCAAGTTTATTATACAATCAGAAGAGGTTTTCATTTAAAATTTGAGTTGGTAGAATTATACATCTGGTATTCGATTCACAAACCATCAATCATGCTGAGTAAAATGAAAGAATCAAATAATGTATACACAGAAGTACTAAACACAGGAGACTATGTTTTTTCCAGGCTCTTTTGCAACAGAGATTTAAGACCTGGATGGATGCTGGACTATGGAATCCAAAGGATCTCTGCCAACCCTGACAACCTGTGACCTATGGAATGATGACAGCTCATTGGCCAGACCTTGAGGCTTTTTGCTTTCCAGTGTCTGTTCTCAGTAAAAGGTAAAATGCTGAAAACCACACAAACGTAAAATGATACCCAAAATAAAGAATTACAGGGAAATAATAAAACATATCACATAGAATTTAAATATGTTCAGTATCAAGGCAATGGTATAGAAAAAAGATGTTAGTTTCTTTTCATGTGAACTCACAATTTTTGTTTTATAAAAAACAAAAGGAAGCTTATTCTACAAAAATAATTTCATTTGCTATTAAAAAATAAACAAAAGCCTCAGTATAATCCCCCTCACTTATGGTTTTAAGAACAAATTGTACAAAGCTATTTGGGGGAAAACAGATAAAGGAACACTGAATTAAAGTCTCACTCGTTTCTCAATCTGTTCTTTAGCAGAGTAGTTTGCATGTGACATCTCACATGATAATTGTTTCCAAACTCAGGAGAAACCACAAGTAATCTCTGATAAACTTGTCAGTGTGCAAAGAACCATAACATCATATTATTGAGTCAAAGGGCCATTCATCTGTATAAATGGTAAAAATTACAATGCTAGATTTTTTTTTCTTAAAATTAAAAAAAATCTTTGTATCATGAAACACTGTCTTTCCAGTTAAATCTCTAAGTCAGGTCATCTTCCTTCTCAGCTTTTGTTTCTCCACTCTGGCCCACCCTGCATAGCTGACTCCTTGTCATCTTTCTAAACCCAGTTCTTTCAGGAAATCTTCTCTGCCCAAAAACCCTCACCTTCTTCTTCGTCTTCTCTCCAGATATTATTCATTTCTCCTAAGCTATCACGGCTCTACTGTGATACTATTTTACCCTTCAGTTTGTATGTGTGCATATGTTCTAATTTAGACTGTGGGCTCCTTTAAGAACACAGCCTATATTTAACATTATTCATGTTTGTTCCTTGAGAACTTAGCACATGCTTCACATACACTGGGCATGCAGTCAACATTTCTAATATAAGCAAATATTAGTATGGAAATATAATAATTAGAGCAATGAGAGACATAGTCTTCCATCTGAGACAAACACATGAGAAACAGGAGCCAAAAAAACATGTTTTAGGCTGATGTGACATCCTTCTCTCCATAATGGTATAATGGTGTAATGATGCAGGCTTTCTAACAACACTGTAAAGAAGGAGGGGAAACTAGGCAGAGGATAGCAACTATCTTGGCTCATAAGTAGGTATACCTGGGAGGACAAAGCCAGGTAAACATGAGCTCTTTACAGTGCAAAACACTTTTATTAAACATTAAACATGGAGAAAAATAACTAGCATGCAAGGATTTCTACCCTATCATCATTTGCCTTGAAAGACTTTTCTCCCTTACCATGACAGCCTCCACTGTGAGTGTGTGCAGGGGTGTGTGTGTGTGTGTGTGTGTGTGTGTGGAAGGTGGCTGTGCCCAAGTGTCAGAGGCAAATTGGCCTCTGGGGTGGCATCCTTAATCCATTTTCCTACAGAACTGATGTCAAATGGGTCACCTCAAAGATTCATCTCAATCATTCATTTATTCCCTTCAAGACAATGGCCTGTCTACCCAGTCTCCCATTTTAGAGACCCTCTGTGTTATCTACACACTCCACTTCTTTTACACGCCTCACTTCCAAGTGTTATGCACATTCTATTAGTTTTACTCAAGAAACATGTTTCTTCCCTATTGCTTTGGCTTTGGTTCTCCTGAAGTTTCTTTACTCTAGTAACAGCTCCCTCTTTGAACCACCAGAAAAGCCTCCTAACTGGCCCTTCTGCCACATTTTGTCCTCTATGTGTTGCAAGAAGCCTCTTCCCTAAGTCAATTAAAAAAAAAATCACAAACATCTGCTTCAAATCTTTCCCTTTCCTTTCCTTCCTTCTTTTTCTTTTTTTATTTTTTTGGAGGGGGAATTCTTGCTACTTGATAATATTTAATATTTAAACTCCTTGAATTCACATATGACTTCATAAATTGGCTCCAACTATTTTTTTCCAGCTTCATATCCTGCAACTCAAAGTTATGTACAATTTTTTATTGCATAAAATGTCTCATCTTTCTCTAGAAATAGCAGGCCTTGCCATAAATTCCTGCTTTTGTAACGTGAATTGCTTTCCTCTGGAAAGAGACCACTTTTCACCTGGAAGATACTCATCCTTCAACATCCAGCTTGTCTCCTCCTTAGGAAACATTCTGTGATACTAAAGGCAGCACCCTGAACATATCTTTGTAAAAGGATTTGCCTTAGTATTGTGATTACCCATTTACCCGTCTACCCCTTTTCAGAATGCGATCTCCTCAAGTGCAGACTTCAAGTCTGACTTTCGTATTACAGACATAGAATGAAACTTGCCATGTAGGAAACAAACACTATTTGGAGTGGTGGTGGGGGGGAAACACAAGTACAAAGAATATAACTCTAAAGCAAAACAAGTTATAATATGCTGTTTAGAAAGTGTTGAAAACCAGGCACGGTGGCTCACACCTGTAATCCCGGCACTTTGGGAGGCCGAAGTGTGGTGGATGGCTTGAGCCCAGGAGTTGTAGGCCAGCCTGCGCAACAGTGAGATCCCATCTCTATAAAAGAAATATAAAAAATAGCTAGGCATGGTAGATTGTGGCTGTAGTTTCAGGTTTTCAGGAGGCTGAGAGAGGGGGAGTGCTTGAGCCCATGAGGTAGAGGCTGCAGTGAGCTGTGACCATGCCACTGCACTCCAGCCTGGGTGACAGAATGAGATCCTGTCTCAAAAAAAAAAGTGTTGAAATAATTTCTTTCCTATCATGTGTTAAATAGGCTTTAAAGGGCTGCCCTTGAAACCTGACAGCTTTGAGTCATTGTGTTTCCATGGGAATAGGCATTCCAGGCTCCAAACAGAGCACTTACAAATGGACTTTGGAACACAACATGCTACCTCAAGGCTCCACTGGCCCACACAGCTGGCACTGAGGCTGGGAGGCAGCCACAGACAGATGAGCGTCCATGCCTCTCTGAGAGGGGAATGACCTACTGAGTCGTGAGGAGCAGCAGGTCAACAACGCAGGCCTGCCCCAGCCCGCCGATGAGCGGCCCATGCCCTCTGCCCACCCGGCCTGCCCAGGTCCCCGCCATGCTTATCACCGTGTATTGCGTGCGGAGGGACCTCTCAGAAGTCACCTTCTCCCTCCAGGTCAGCCCTGACTTTGAGCTCCAAAACTTCAAGGTCCTCTGCGAGGTGGAGTCCAGAGTCCCCGCCGAAGAGATCCAGATCATCCACATGGAGCGACTCCTCATCGACGACCACTGTTCCCTGGGCTCCTACGGACTCAAAGACGGCGATGTGGTGGTTTTACTACAGAGGGACAATGCGGGACCCCGGGCTCCAGGGCGCGCCCCGAACCAGCCTCGTGTAGACTTCAGCTGCATTGCAGTACCCGGGACGTCCAGCTCCCGGCCGCAGCACCCGGGACAGCAGCAGCAGCGCGCACCCTCTGCCCAGCGGACGCACGGGCTGGCCTCGGGAGAGAAGGTGGCCGGCCTGCAAGGCCTGGGCAGCCCCGCCCTGATCCGCAGCATGCTGCTCTCCAACCCGCATGATCTGTCCCTGCTCAAGGAACGCAATCCCAGCCTGGCAGAAGCCCTGCTCAGCGGAAGCCTTGAGACCTTTTCTCAGGTGCTGACGGAGCAGCAAAGAGAAATGGCCTTGAGAGAGCGAGAGAGGCTTCGTCTCTACATGGCCGACCCACTGGATCGGGAAGCTCAGGCCAAAATAGAAGAGGAAATCCGGCAGCAGAACATTGAAGAAAACATGAATATAGCGATGGAAGAGGCCCCCGAGAGTTTCGGACAAGTGACGATGCTCTACATTAACTGCAAAGTGAATGGGCATCCTTTGAAGGCATTTGTTGACTCGGGTGCCCAAATGACCATTATGAGCCAGGCTTGTGCCGAGCGCTGTAACATCATGAGGCTGGTGGACCGACGGTGGGCTGGGGTTGCTAAAGGAGTGGGCACACAGATAATTATTGGCCGTGTTCATCTAGCTCAGATTCAAATTGAAGGTGATTTCTTACAGTGCTCTTTCTCCATACTTGAGGATCAACCCATGGATATACTTCTAGGCCTAGATATGCTCCGCAGACATCAATGTTCTATCGATTTGAAGAAAAATGTGCTGGTCATCGGCACCACTGGCACGCAGACCTACTTTCTTCCTGAGGGAGAGTTGCCCTTATTCACTAGGATGGTAAATGAGCAAGATGAGTCCTCAGACAAGGAAATTACAGACTCGGTCAAGGATTCAGGACACAAAGAGCATTAAAGCACGTTATAAATATGTCACCACCTTAAGGAAGTTTCAAGTCCCTGGAAATTATACGATGGGAGCTCACTAGCAATGTAATCATTAAAAAAAAAAAAATCAGTAACAACTAAATCTGGCCTTGGGACTACATTCTCAGATAGGTAACTCCGTCAATCCTGATTCCTTGGTATTGGTCCCTCTTCCATTTCCCTTGTCCAGAGATCACTGAAAGGCATCCTGGGAAGGCTGTGGAGGCTCCAGCGGCTTTCCAGATAATCCATGAAAAAGAAAATCAGCTTCTTCTTTTGGAGACATTATTCTATCAGATTACAGGTGGCTTATCCAAACCAGTTGCTATTTTGCAGAATTCCCTGGAAAAATGCCATGGCTACAGACCTTACAAGGCATCCACATAAAACTATGTCACATCAGCACTAACAATTCTTTATATGCAGAGAAATATGCCTATTTTCATAGGTTTTGTTTTCTTTGGGAAAGGCACTAGAATTAGTGGGTCAATTACATTCTCATGTTAACTAATACTTATAAATGTCTGTTTGGGGCAGCATAAAGGCCCATTTCCTCATATTTACAGCTTCCCTTCCCCTGGATCTCCTGCAGTCACACTGCAGTCCACAGCTAAAGGCTATTTTTGCCATATTTGAGAAAGTGGATTTTTCTCCAAGGATGTTACATTAATTTTCTATTTCCCCTGCATTCAAAGAAACTCTGGCTATAAAATAAAGGCAATAAATTAGATTTTCTTTTAAAGAAATTATGGTACTCTCTTGGGAGTCAAGTTGTACAGTGGTGGGAGTGAGAGGTGGGGACAGGCAGTGATCCAGGTTCCCTAATATGTGTTGCAATTAGATCATCTCTCTCTGTCTCTCCTTTTTAAAGTAAAAGTCTGCTTTAGATATTAAGCTGCTACATCAATATTGTTTGAACAAAGGGCTTCACTGTTAAAATAACATTTGAAAACTTCTGAATGAGAAGATCTCTATGGCCTCATTCAGAATTATTCATGTGACAAAGCCACTCTTTATTACGACTGACACTGGGAAATGGAATATCCTAGACTTAATTACAATCCATGGCTAAAACACTTGAGAGAATAGTTTCAGCTTCCTGAGGCCATCAGATGGAGGTGAAATGTTTCAGGGCAATAATTCATCAAGACTGGTATTACAACAGTGGATTCAAAGTCAAGAAGACTATGCTTTGATTACACTTAATTACTTAGACAAATTAGTTCACCTACTTTACAACTCAGATTCCTCATCTATGAATTTGTCCCCCCGGGAAGGTGTCACTTTTCAAGTACTAAAACCTCATTATGATCTACGATATCCTTTGAATTATTCTATTTTCCTGACAAGATATAAAGCCACACAAAGCATTCCCAAAGGATACAGAAATACATAATCCTCCCTTATGATCCCCATATACTTTTGTTTTGCTTCTTGGTCATACTAACCACACTCTTTCTAAAGAAAGTCACCTTTCCTCTTCTAGCCACCATCAGTTCACCTCCCATTTTTCTTCTCTATAAATATTCCCATGCTCACATTTCCCAATCTTGTCTATATTCGCACAAAGTTTTACACCCAGTAGAACTGCTAAAAATGATCAAATGGACAGATTTCCTTCCTACTTTTGTTTCTAATTAAGCACTCAAGACAAATGCAATTAACAAAAAAGACATTCAAAGTCAGGGATAAGCAAAATGCTTATGAATAAATGTAAATTGACCTGATAAATTCATGAATTCTCTCAAAGACAAAACTATGCAAAATCCTCAGCATCTTCTGGACTCAATTTTAAGGTTTATTTATACAAAAATAAAATCTTATTTGCATATATCACATGGGACTCCTCAGGGTAGCTGACCCATAAAAGTCAGCCACAGAATCTTTAAGGTAAAAGACAGTTTACATGATATCAAATCTGACCATACCCACCCTACCTTCTCAGAGGAACACCTCTTCTGAGGTAGTTATGTGGTTTTGAGACAAATCTCAGGTAAAATTATTTGTTTCTTATTTTGAACTGAAATCTATTGTCCCATAACTTCCAATAAGCTGGTCTTCATTCTTCTTTCTCCCAAGACCACATTTAATCTTTCTGGCATGAGACCAACTTTTTAATACATGAAATCAGTATCAGCCCACATATCCATTTTTAGGCTTTAGTAGGTTTTCAACAGATTTTTAACTATTCCTCATAGGACAAATTTGTATTCTCTTAAAAATATCATGTTTATTTGGTCATATTCCAAATCCTAAAAATATTATTTGAGTTAATGAATGAATAAATTTAAAACGTTTATACTGAATTGGAAAGCAATGACCTCAAAGAAAAATCATTAAATAAAATGAATTAATTAAGCAATGCCCTTATTGATTAACTTTTAAAAATCATTGACTTTCAAATTGAAAAGTGTTTTAAAAATTAATTTAATTAGTTTAAAGTCTGAATATAATCCTGTGTATACATAAAAGGGTCATGATCAATTAAATTTTAAATGGATTAGTTTTGGTAAAGGCTACATCTTTTGCTTGTCTTCTACAGAAATCAGACACCGTGCAAGGTACTTTGCATATTGTTCCCCTTAATCCTCAGGATAAACCTTAAAAATAATCATTTTTAAGCCCATTTTGTGGATGGGGAATTTGAGGCTCAGAATTATTAGAAACATTCAAATATTCAAAGCTCAGTGATTTAAAATTTTTTTTGACAACCTACATTTTACATTGTAACTCAGTTTTACACACTACACACCCAAACACACATAAGTATTTCTATCTCTACATATATCTCTATATAACAAACAAAAAGGATTCTTGAAATGAATGATATGTTTTATCATTTCCTAGTCTTATTTCTTTTTAAAATTATATTTTATGTATCCAATTTACAAAACATTGACTGACTTACCAAATTGCCTTATTCAAAGCTTTTTGACTTCAAATGTCAAGCTCCTTTGTAACTTCCTTATCTGAATCCTAGGTCAAAAGCTGCAAAATTCTTAAAAAATTTCATTTTATGGAAACTACCAAAATAATGCCAGTATAAATGACAACAAGAAGGCGGGACTCAGAATACACACAATAATTATTTATTGAATACACATAAAATAGGTTCACAGACAGATTTTTATACATTTAGAAATGAGTGGGTTACAGTTTCAGACCTCGAGGTGATTATTACCTTGCAGCGGTAGAAGAAAGACTTGTAACCAACTAAGAACAAAAAGAATGGACATGAAATTAATAGCATGTTGGTATGAAAGAATAAATTTTGTAATAGGGGTTATTTTTAAAATAAGAAGCAAGCCAGGAAATGCACTTTCAATGAGTCTAAAATGTTCATCACTGAAGCTGTAACAAAAATCTTCCTCCTAAATTTCAGGTTACTAATACACAATGTATAATTATCTATTTTTTTGGAAATATACTACCTGGAAATGGATAAACAAATCTTCATTTTTTGTTTTTGTTTTCCTATTAAAAATGAGGATAAAGTAGACCACATGATGAAATAGACATTTCCTGTCTCAAGCCATTTAAAAAATCCTTGGCTACACTTAATGCTCACTTAAATAACCATCTTACCTAAAAGAAAATCACTAGTGTGATAACCATGTATTTCAAGACTACCAACAACTGATTCTGCTGCAGTTAAACCAGAAGATGGATGTTGTTTGAGATAAGCTGAATACATCATCTTAACCTCTTTCTTAAAATATTGGGTCATAAAGATTTTCTTGTTTCTAGGGGGAAATCTATTCTGCAAAAAGAAAAAGATAAATGGATGTTTGCATGTATAAATTCATCTTCACTGCAGGTATTAATTGTTGTCATTTTAGTTAAGAGAACATTGTGCTTCTTTCAGAATGCCAATTAGAAAAGGGCCATTTTCTAACATCCAACATTCCATAAATAAACACTTAAGTGATGAGAGTGATCTGGGATTCTCACTAGGAAATTGTATGCAATGATATTAATCAGTGCCAACATTTCTAGTTACTCTTTGGGTTTGCAAGAGTCTGGAAAACAAAGAAGAGGAGCAAATGTAAAGATGGGTAGAGGAAGAAGGAAACAAACAAAACAAAACAAAACAAGGTAAGTGTGGGTTGACTGTAACTGATTCTGTCTTAGCCTAAGTACTGATTTATGTGGTAGGAACTGGGCTATGATTATAGCGTAGCTACCATTCCACAATACTTTTTTTAATTATTGGCAAGTTATGTAAAAATGAAAATATTTTCACGGCAAAGCCATAGTCAAACTTGCTTGTGACCCCCAGCTTCTTTCCACACCTTGGCTCCATCTGTTAGAATCCCTGAATTTCTAAGGGTCTGTTACCAGAAAAAAAAATGGAGCTTGCAATCTTGCTGTGCCTTCCGTGTCTTCCTCAGAGGGTCCATTTAACAGGCTGTTGATATGGGTATATCTTTGGCGGCTTTGTCTCTTATTACAGCAACGAATGTTTTCTGATTGCTTTTTCTTATTGAGAACAACTTTTATGAATCCAGTTTTTCCATATTTCTAATCAGTAAGGCTCGTTTTTAGAGCATCACTATACAAATTACCAGATAATTTCCTCTTATGTTACAGTCCCTAGGAGGCAATGTGGGCTATGCTTCAGGTAGGGGTATTTTTTATGGGTATATTTTTGGACCGTTAATTGATATATTGATGCCTTGTCCAAATAAAGCAGACAATTACCAAATAAGCATGCTCCAGGTAAATAACTACTTAAATCCATTATATTCTTACCCTATACCATCAATCACCATTCTGAAACCTTACTTTATCAGGGCTTTACTATATGGATCCCTTAAGATCCAGAGGAAAATTAATTTAATATTACCTTAATTCACATATTCTTCCTCTCAAACTCCTGTCATGTCTAAGGATTCAATTACTCTATCAGTCAAAAAGTATCAGTGTTTTGTATTCATACATGTCACTAAAATTTTAATGTATTTAATAAAATAATCCTATATTTTTTTTCAAGAAGATCCATACTACAGCTGAAATTGATCAAACTGCTTTAATTTTTAAGTCTCCTTAGAAATGGTACATGTTTATACAACAACAACAACAAAAAAGGGTAGAAACTGACATCAGAAAATGTGGGAATGGGATACTCACAATAAATATTTAAGTTATCTATGAACTTGGGTTATCCTGGAAGAGCATAGATAAAACAAAATTTTATCATTTTTTGTACTAACAGATAAGGATAGTGATAGAGTAAGTCTGAAAGTAAATCCTAGGTTTTGAGTTTTTTAAGAGAATATTTGAACAAAGGAACAGAAACTTCAGAAGAAGCACAAATAAATAATGATGTTACGGTCACATTTATTTCAAGTTTTCGTGGAGCTATTGAAGGTCAAGATGCAATGAACAAATGTAAGTTGGGACTGCACAAAGGGGTAAGGTAAAAGATGAGCAGATAAAGAAATGTGCTTATGAACAGAAGAGGATGCCTAGAAAAAGCTTTGCTGAGTGTCTGGTTGAGGAGGGGAAGAAACATGGAAAGTTCATGATTTTACGGTAGAAGATGTAAGGAGTCCAGACACTGGGGGTCAAGGAGAGGACGATATGGTCAGATTGTTACATTGCCATGGAAGCAGAAGTCTGAGAAGGTACTAAAGCAAAACAGACTAGCCATTAACCCCCAGTGTGCTAAATAATGTGAAGAAAAGTAAAATGGCAAAGTGAGACCTTTACCATTGCCTCTTGAAAGTAAGTA